TCAATATTATATGCTCCACAGAATTCACTCACAAAGTATACAACAGCACAATATGCCTTTACACTGGCGTCTGCAAACCCATGCAAAGAACACCTCAACTTTACCAAACAATAGCCTATAAACATCTAGGCACAGCAACTTTACCTATCCTTTTTAATTCTTCAATCCAACCCAACGACCTTCGTTTCCTATTCTTATCCAGTTCATCATCCCTAGCAAAACCTTAAATCCACAACTCCTGAAACAATACCTTGATGGTAACAACGAGTGGACCAACAAACCCTAAGGGATCATGCAATCCTGCCCAATACGCTAAGAATATTCCTTTTAGTAGGAACTAAACTCTTGGCCCTCTCTGTCGGTGTTGTGAACTGAATGAGAAACTCATCTATAAATATAAGTATCTAATGATACTCAATGTGGCATTTAACAGAAATGGAGAACGATTAACCCCAAATACCGCCCTACAAAATTTATACACCACCGGATTAATTTCTTCATCTGATACATCTCTTAACCAAAAGAAATCTTAAGACATCCCGACACATTTATCAACTTCTACATTGAGAAAAGCCTTCTTAATGTCTGCCACAAGGGCGACCGGCCTTTCCCTAAATCTTAACCAAACATGAAAGAGTTGGGGTGTTAGTGATGGCCCTAAATGAAGGTAATCATTTAGTGAAACGAGTTTGGTCATTTCACGAGCCACGCTCGAGCCTGAGTCAAGCACGAGTCACGAGTCACAAGTTACGAGTCAATTTCGAGTCACGAGTCAAATTCGAGTCAATCTAAAAACTTGGTTTCTGCGCTTTTTACTAAATAGTTTCCAATTTTGATGCAGGTAAGTAAACTTTATTAAATAGCGCATCTTGGTTTATTTACATTCTCACTGTCGTTTGTTGTTTGTTGTTCCACAAACCTGACTCAGCCCAGTCGCTTACCTCGCATTGAATGAAGGGAATGCGATGGTTTATTCCCGGAATATACCTGGGCGCCCTTTTACGGCAAAGGCCATGGAACTATATATTTGTGGGACTGTGGACGAGCCAGTGTACAGACAAGTGAGACAACAACTATGGGAATTCTGTTTATGAGAATTCCGGTAATTCCTAATTTGCGGGCGAGTAAGCCAACAACCGTTTGTGCGGGCTTTGCAAAGCCTATTTTTGAATATTGAAATACCATAATTTTAGACGTAAAGAAACGTATTACTTACTCAAAGTTCAACCTTTTTAATAATTAACATGTATTGTCTTGTATTTTAATTACTGCTATTAAAGTCCATTCAAAGCGATTTCAGTTCACTTTCGAACCATCTGGCACAGTTTAATGGGCCAATTGCGGAATTGCTAAGCATCATGGTAGTTTAGTTACACAGCAGAATTTTTCAACATGGCGCTTATACTTTTCGAACGAGGGAAGGTGCTAAACACATGAGAATTGCAAGAAAACGTTTATCATTTTCGCTTTGATTAAAGTTTTGACTAAATCTGTACGACTTGTTTCATATTTCTACTTCGTCTTGGACTTCTACGAGCGAGTGCGGTTGAAATATTTAACATGGCGTACAAAGTCACTGAAGCGGGGAAGGAGTTCGATTCGTAGTAGTCAGGAACAAATTTTTGAATATTTCACAACATGAAGGTGAGTACTGCATTAAATTATTTTCGAAAGAAGGAACACGTTGTAAACTATTATTTGCCTAAAAATTTTAATGATCGGTTTAATTCTAGCAACTCGAGAGACAAAAATGTTTGCACACTTGACCGTCCCAAAACAACAGATGTTTGATCAAACGTTCGTTTCACAACCACAAAACATTGAGGTTGTTTGGCGCGAAAAATCAAAACAGTTACTGTTTGAAATACCGAGCTTTCACATTTCAAAGGTTTTCAAAGATTTATAAAGTACTTTTAAGTACTATTCACTGCTGTTCAAGTGTCTTATTGGAGTTTTTAACTACAACATTTTTACGCGAGTCAAATTTAAAGCAACCTCGCTTGCTTTGAGTATATTTTGGAAAGTTTCGAGCCGTTTGGTTTGCTGTTTGTTTGGATAAATATGGCAAGTGACACGGAAAAAGTGCTAAAGGTAAAATGTACAGGGGAACGACCTGTTGTGTGCCACTCTGTCGAAGCGACAGTGTTCAAAATTCGGAATTATCCTTCCATAAATTTCCTGTGAGAAATATGGCTGAATTTTATATTGAGAATACAAAGTGAACCTTTTATAAAAAAGCCACAAAAAGTGTGTTTCTTACACTGAGAAATCTTTTAGTGCATTGCCAACTCTCGTTAAAATATCATGTAGCCAAACTGTTAACAGTAGCCAAGGCAGGGAACATATATAATTATAGACAGCTAGTGAGACTGAACAACCCAGTTTGAACAACAAACGACTGGCATTGATACACAAGAGTCAACCAATGAAAGATTAAAAACTGAACATGTAGCTTTACAGTTATCATCTAAATACGAACAGTGTGTACTGCGAATAGAACATGTATTTGCCAGTGACACAAATTTTAAATTCTATACAGGTTTTCAAAATTATGCAACATTTAAAGTTTTCTTTGACTTTCTGCAAGCACCATGTAATTTCTTAACTTATGCTGGTTCGAGTAACAATGTAGAATACTCAGCAGAATAAAAAAGCTGCGGCGAAAAAGATCAATGTCGCCTACTGTACGTTGTGGTCTTATATGGGTTGACATATTGCTCTCTGAATTGGCATTTCACAGCACATGTTTCTCGTACATATATGGGCTACTTGGTTAGAGTTTCTCTATCACAAGTTAGGATCATTACCCATCTGGGCATCACAAGATTATATACAACAAACTATGCCACAGCCTTTCAAAAAAACCTACCTAAATACCCGTGTAATTATTGATTGTACAGATTGAACAACAAATTGAAATGCCAACATCATTTAGAAGTCAGTCTGCATTTTTGAAAATGGGCACTTCACCTCACCTATCCCAAATGTTGTTGGCTCTGCATAATTATATAACAAGTAGTCTGGTTTCACCAAGTCATGGAGCTTCTGTGTTAACAAATAACCCACACTGAACACATGCAGTCATTACACATGCAGTCATTATCAGTTCATCCTGAATTATTTTGCTCTAAATGTTTTTCAATGGCAATCTGCTCATTACGGTTGCCCCACTTGACATGCTTTACATTGCTTGCATGCTGGCAAAAGGATTTTGCTAAGAAATGATGTGAGGAAAACATTTTCTCTCTTTGTTTCATTGCCGTACTGAAATGTGAGGTAGTTACAGTAGACGGCCTCATTGTGCATGAAACCAAAGTTTGCTCTGTGACTGACCTCTTGTATTGCATTCAATGTCAACCATTTGTTCTTTGGGTGTAAAAAGAGTGTTTCGAGTATCTGGTCTATATACTCCGGAGAAGGCAAATCTTTGCACACTGCTGCGAAGGCAAATGTTTGCACACTGCTGCTAGGAACAGTAAGTTGTTCCAGTATAGATGTTCAAATTTTGTATTGTACATTTGATTTGCAAATAGGTTTGCATTATTGAATGCCTTTTTTGAAGGCAATTCCTCAACAAATTCTTGATATTGGAAAGGTTCACAATTGTTGGATACTAAAGGCCCTGCAAATAATCACAAGTGCCAACAGTTTTCAAACCGGTCTTCACGTTTTCTTAAGTCTTCAACATTTACATGTTTAGCAAAAGCAGATGCTGGGTTGTTGTAGTTTGCTGTGCAATGTTTTTTCTGTCTTGAAAGTTGCCTTGCTTATTTTTACTTTGTCGAAAAGCACTGCAGTATCAAGTTTCTCATTAGTAAGTTCAGTGACTGTCAGACTGTGTACATGTTAAATCATGTGGGACTTCAGTTTAATAATTGAAGTTGGATATTGAGTCCAAAATTTGAAATAGCAAGTACAACTTGCAAAAGATATTTAACCAGTGTCTTAGACCTACAGTAGGTGAACATATATTCCATAGTGTGCCTTTTTCATGGAGGCATGCACAACACTTTTAATTAATTAAACAGGAAAGATGTTTCTGTGCCTTTCAAAACATTAGCCTTAACTACAACCTGGGTAACCATTTTATCTTTGAACAGTTGATAGCCATATTTTTATGCTTGTGAGCATTTGCATGGTCCAAGTTTACTGAGTAGTCAGTTATCAAATGTTCCTTCAGTAATGCATGCATGGGTATTAAAATACCACTGAGGTTTCTTGTCCACTGTATTCCTTACTCCATATTTACAAACAGCAAACCAAACGGCTCGAAACTTTCCAAAATATACTCAAAACAAGGGAGGTTGCTTTAAATTTGACTCGCGTAAATATGTTGTAGTTAAAAACTCCAATAAGACACTTGAACAGCAGTGAATAGTACTTAAAAGTACTTTATAAATCTTTGAAAATCTTTGAAATGTGAAAGCTCGGTATTTCAAACAGTAACTGTTTTGATTTTTCGCGCCAAACAACCTCAATGTTTTGTGGTTGTGAAACGAACGTTTGATCAAAAATCTGTTGTTTTGGGACGGTCAAGTGTGCAAACATTTTTGTCTCTCGAGTCGCTAGAATTAAACCGATCATTAAAATTTTTAGGCAAATAATAGTTTACAACGTGTTGCTTCTTTCGAAAATAATTTAATGCAGTACTTACCTTTATGTTGTGAAATATTCAAAAATTTGTTCCTGACTACTGCGAATCGAACTCCTTCTCCGCTTCAGTGACTTTGTACACCATGTTAAATATTTCAACCGCACTCGCTCGTAGAAGTCCAAGACGAAGTAGAAATATGAAACAAGTCGTACAGATTTAGTCAAAACTTTAATCAAAGCGAAAATGATAAAAGTTTTCTTGCAATTCTCATGTGTTTAGCACCTTCCCTCGTTCGAAAAGTAAAGCGCCATGTTGAAAAATTCTGCTGTGTAACTAAACTACCATGATGCTTAGCAATTCCGCAATTGGCCCATTGTTGGTCACATGATTTTTAATTTGGCCGGGAAATGGAAACTCTAAGTCCTAGTTTAGTTCAATTGTGAAGTGAGGGAAACTTTCATCGTTGGCAATGTGCCCATGAGCAGTGTCTGTTAATTAATGTATTTGCCTTACATTTTCTACAGATGCTCAGTTTGGTATCGGCAAACAAATTAGATGCAGAGGTAGTAAAGAAGAAATTTTCGGATGTAAGTTTCTAATCAATTTTATTTCCATTGACTTAGCTATATCTTTTATTCTCTACTATATTTTCAAGTATTTTTGCTAATTTTGTGGAGATGAAATCAACTCACATTGAATTTTAGCCGGTAGATGATCTTTTCAAAAGAATGTCAAAAAATAGTCGAATTTGGGTTTTGGGTTTTCTCAATGAATTCTAACCAGCTACTTGATCACAACATTTCTAGAATGGATCGCAATTTTTCGCACCCATGCATAGGTCCAAGTAATTTTGAAAAACAATTTACAATTTACAACAATTTACAATTTTGAAAACTCGTTCTACTCCACAACATGACGTCATAACGTTGAATATGATTTTGCATATCAACATCATGACTTCATTCCGTTGAATATTATGCCAGATCTCCATATTTGGTTAGATATATTGAGTTGATATGACGATTTTACAGTTGTCTGTTAGCCACTCAGAAACCAAGAATGTTTTAAATAAATAATAATTAGCCTACAGTATATCTTACTGAAAGTGTAGTTTGGTGTTTATTTATGAGTTGCTTATCGCTCCATATATTTACTTTTTGTTATCAGAAAGAGCAATCTAAAACTGAACAGATATGTGAAATGGCGGGTGTGATGTCGAAAGCCATACAGATTGATGATGTAATAATCCAAGAGGAAGAAGAGAGACTAGCAGCTCTAGAGTTTGAAAATCAAGGATTACGAGAATTACTTCAGATCAGTGGGGTATCCAGATCTGACTTTGAAGAGTATCAGAAAGAACGTGAACGACAGCGAGGCTCAACTACACCCACAATGTCAGATTGAAACAAGGACTTTGCCAACATAATATTATTATCCCTCAAAACTCGAAATACTCATACACTATCCGTTTGGGATTAAATAAGGTACATATACACCAGAGGTGGAAATAGTATCGGAATCTGGGAACCTAGTTCCCAGAAATTGTTTTGAGTTGAGAGTTTCACAGAAAATTTTCCAGAGACTATTTCAACATTTTGAGATTACTCTGTTTACTCAACTTACAACTATTCTACTTTATTTACACTGTACAGTACACACTAACATCAGCAGCCTTTTAAATATTTGACAGAAATTAATTCTGTTACCCACCCCTGCCATCACAATCATGGTAAATATATGCTCTGCAAGTCTCCAATAAAATGCAAATTAAATAGCAAACTTGTAAATAAAATATGCAATGAAATAAGCTTCAAGTGCCAGTGCGATATGCTATTATTATACTGCTATATACTAGTATAATCATAACTTAACAAAAAAATGCAAATCAGACAAAAAGTCAAGTGATGGAATAAATAAGATTATATAGGACACTTAGAAAGCGTTAGATCCTTACTAGTTGATCATAACTCATAAACGTGGTATACAGTATAACAGACAACCATTGTGATGCACGAGCATACGAAAACCAGCCTAAGAAATTTTTAGCCTTTGACCCATGTTCCCAGAAAGAATTTTTTTCCACCCCAGCTGTACACTTAAAGTGCACTGGAACTACTGGAGATGGATGAAATATTTATACTCATTATTGTCTTAAGGCCCAGTTTATAACATCGAACTATAATTCATATACGGAATCTAATGCAAGTGAGCTCAAACACTGAACTTATACAATTAGATACGCCAAACGATAAGCTTTACTATAATGACATGGTGAGCCCATGGATAATAAAATAAATGGATAGGAAACTAGCTGACGTGACCTAATATTTTCATTGGGCTGATGGCGTAGTTGGATGTTGAAACCTAGTTCCAAACCAAATTCAAAAATGGCATGTTTAGCAATAATACAGCTAAATATTTTAGTCAAAGAGCAAATAAATATAACTACGCCATTTTACGATGAAATCTCTAAGTATTCCCAGTCAATTTTAGCAAATATTTCGGGCACTAAACAGTGAAAAATGCATCCCAAATTTCGTTAAAATTGGCGACGCCAATTTCGTAGCTACAAATGTAAAAAAATACAAAACAAAGACGAAAAACATTTACCTTGAATACTTTGTCGTGGCTTAGGCATGTTTTTAAAACAATTAGACCAGTTTATGCTTCAATATTACTCTTTTAAAGCGGAAATATAGCGAAACAATTACAAAAATGCCGAGAACTTTGATATATTTGCAATACGCGTGACGTCACAGATATCAATTAGGTTTAGACTGTGACGTCAGGAAGTTTCCTATCCAGTTATTTTACAATCCATGGTGAGCCTAATAAATTTGAGCCATCTAATAAATGTAGCCGTATAGAAGAATCACGTGAGTTGGGCTCTTTTCGATAAAAAAATATGAAGACATGTCATGTAAATTGCAATGTATAAATCACTGTAATAAATTGTATAATATTAATTAAACAGAACATAGTCCATATGGTCCTATCAGAAATTCGTGCTATGCCCGTAATTAAGGTTACAGAATACCTTTGAGTGTTAATTTTTCCTAAACTTTTTTTATTGGTTTCCATGAAAGCATTAGACTAGTTCTACTATCTGACGAAGTTTCAACGAAAAATGTTGAAAACTCGCAGAGTAACTTAAAACCAGCAGGGCACAACTCAAAAGCGTAACAGTACCGCGATTTAAGATTTTCCTGAATAATTCTTACATTATTTTATTGTTTGTTAATTTTACAACTTTACCATATTTAGCATGCACTGGCGAATATTTGGTGAAATTTTGATTAAAATTGGACTGATATTGAGCGCGCAGTAGCGATTTTCCGCAAAACGCCAAAAAGGGTGTCCTGTAACCTTAAATGAATTTGCTCGACTGTGAGGATAGTCGATTAGTACAAACACCGATTTCCAGCTGGGCCTTAATCTGTACAAGACAAAAACGTCCTCAGAAAAGTCCCCACATATAGCAGTCATTAACTGTACATTTTAGTGGTAAAATGATCAATTACACTAAATAATATTAAATTGAGTGGCATGCAGGTTTTGGGCAGGAAAGAGATGTTTAATTCAAGTACAGGGGTACATACATTCTCCAGATTAAAAATGATGGTTTCAAGATTGAGCTGAAATTGCAGTCTTGCTAACTGTCTTTGATGATAATTTGCATGGGAAATGGACCAGCAATTTTATTGCACATCTTCCTGTTATTGGAAGACGCATCTCCATGCATGCCTGTACCATTGAGCTATATATATATATATATATATATATATATATATATATATATATATATATATATATATATATATATATATATATATATATATATATATATATATATATATATATATATATATATATATATCTGGAGCGACAAATCACACGAAATAGTTCATAATCCTAGCCAATCATTAACTGTAAATTTTACTGGTAAAATGACCAATTCCACTGAAACTTTAATTGTTCATAAATAATATTAAATTGAGTGGCAGGTTTTGGGCAGGAAAGAGATAATTAATTGAAGTACAGGTACAGGGCTACATATACATTATCCAGATTAAAAGCGATGGTTTCAAGATGGAGGTGAAAGTAGTCTTACTGTTTGTCTTTTATTGGAAGACGCGCCTGCATACATGCTTGTACTAGTCAGCTCCACATACACAGCGTATAAAAAACTGAACAGATTTGAAATTGTTTTCAATTTCGCAAAATAGCTCATGGTATATCAAGTTTTTTGTTATATATAGATTGCTTGATTACCATTAAGGCCTAATTCCACAAAATTTCGCTCGAAAACATACTTGTGCGACCATTTTTTCTCGTAGTGATTTCCACAGTAGAGGAAATATTCGCCAAAACACAAGCATTTGATTGGCTTCGCTATTTCCATTTCGCAACGGAGTAGAAACGAATTCAACTACCCGACGAAGAGAAATATTTCGCAGAGAAACATTCCAAAATCATGTTGCGCATGCGTTCAACCTTTTCGCGCGAAATTTTTCGCATTTCGCTCGTCGTGAAATTAGGCCTTAACAGGGTTTATTTTAACGTGCAGTTCTACACAAAATGTGCAGTTCTAAACCCATTTGTGCAGTTCTTAAAACACAAATGTGCAGTCACCAGACTAACAAAAATAGCTTTAATTAAAATAAAACCGTCTTCTCATTTACTCGTTACCCTTGTGGATGCTCCAGAAAATTTCAGAAATGCCGTGATGAATTGAGCATCAAAAATCTAAACGATTTCTGGGGGAGGACTCCAGACCCTCCTATTTTCCTCACAAATTACTTACGTGCTGGGGTAATGGAAAAGAAGGTAAAATTGGGGCGAGCGAAGCTCCCCAAAAGAGATTACAGTGGGAGAACCTAATATTCTTTGCTGCCTCAAATGCAAATTTAAGGTTGTTATATGTTGAATATCCATGATTCCCAGTTACATGTTTTGAAACAGTTTTTGTGAGTGGTTGGGTAAAACAAATCTTTGCCAGAACTTAAGAGCCTCGAGATTCAAATTGTTTTGGGGAACACCCCTAGCTCCCGCACCCAAAATCGGGTTTGTCTGACCTTTCTCCAATTCTCCCTCCTAACCACACCATTATTCTGTCACCTGTATGCAGGTAAAAAATCCTTCGCCCCCTCCCCAGTCAAACACCCGTTGCCTTCGTAACATCCCTATGTGTGTAGCTCTAAATTTTTCTTAAAATAAACCCTGGGCCTTAATGTATAGAGAAATGAAGAAAAAATACTCGAACTCAAATTTTCTAAACTAGGAGGGTGTTTCTTTTCCAACAAACTAAAAATAAGTACGCAGTGCGACATATTGCATGCCATCTGAAACCTTAAGGCTGATTTCCATTCAGTCCAAAATGTCGCGAGATTAACCTTTTGCGATCACTTTCTTTTGAAATGCATTCAGTCATCGTCATCCGTTGCGTTTGATTGCTTTAAATGTATTTCAAAAGAAAGTGATCGCAAAATGTCGATCGCGCGACGTTTTGCACTGAATAGAAATCCGCCTTTATGATGCGCAGCGCTTATAAATTTTGGTACAACTGGCCTGAAACTTCAAATAGTGATTCAATAAGTTCACCACATTGACACAGTATAGGGAGACAACCAGTAGGGCCACTTAGGGGAGAGAAAAGTGGCAATTATTTAAGCTAGGTTCCAGGTGTCTTACGCGGCCAAAATCATTATTCTGTAGTACAATTTTATAGTGGACTGCTGCCGTTTACTGGCTGCCAATATGTAAATTAGGTTGGCAGCCAGTAAACAATGTAGACACTTTTTTACGCTGAGTGGCTCTACTGTACTTTTCCTATACTGTGACATTGATCTGAAATAAAACTGGATAAAGCATCCTATTGAATTCAGTAATATCAAAGTTGCCTCGAAATCCTTTGTCTCGCGAGGTACGATTAATCACTAATTTACCTCATTACTAAAACATGGAGTAAAATTAGAACTAATTTTTACCACGGGCAAAATTAGAACTAATTTTCCCCTGCATGCTTGTTGAGGGATATTTAGAAGACAAACGCGTACCTCATTACCTCTGATTGGAGAGCTGTACCTCATCGAAAATCATCGGCACAACTATGGACAGTATCTGACGACACCGTCCCATACGCATTCGAACTATCACTTTGCCAGCTTTTATTCCCTAATCTTGAACATTTCAGTTGTGGGAGAAAATTCCGTTTATGCGCATGCCTAAAACGAATGAACACGGAGATGTGTTTCTGCGCGTGCGTATATATGAAAAGTATTCGTACCACAATCATAAGACAATCAAACAGCATTCAAAACAGGCAACACACCACGCGCGATTCCCTCGGCAACTATGATATTACAAAGTAATAGCACAGTATAGGGAGAGAACCAGTAGGGCCACTTAGGGGAGAGAAAACTGGCAATTATTTAAGCTAGGTTCCAGGTATTATTCTGTAGTACAATTTTATAGTGGACTGCTGCCGTTTACTGGCTGCCAATATGTAAATTAGGTTGGCAGCCAGTAAACAATGTAGACACTTTTTTACGCTGAGTGGCCCTACTGTACTTTTCCTATACTGTGGTAATAGCATGGCAGTACGGTCGATTAGTGATGAAATGTCCCTCAAGCCTCGAGAGGTTTAGTAAAAGTCCCCTCGGCGCTACGCGCCTCGGGACTTTTACTAAACCTCTCTCGGCTTTCGGGTACATTTAATCACTAATCGCCCTGAATGCCATGCTATTACTTATAATAATCCGATTTTGAAGCCAGAATATTTTAATGAGATGAGATTTATAAAGCAGTCAAATTCATGATCAGTCTAATCCGTTTGCTGTTTAAGTTCAGTTAGACTATAAAGCAAATATCTTCGCCGGTATGTTATTTGTGAAATATAGCTTCCAAAACCTCTTCGAAGTAGTTTTAGAACGTTTTATAGACCACATAACGAGGCTTATGGCGGCCAATAACTAATGAGTTATTCACCGGCAAATTTAGGGAAAAAGAGGCTGGCCCGGTTGCCGAGATCTCGCTTGAAAGAGGTGAGATCTCGCTTACCGGGATGGAAATTTGTCCATATAAACACTCACAAGCGGGGTAGTCCGGTTCCTGTGATGAAAGTTCAAAGATACCGCCACCAGCTATTTTTAACAACGGTCAAAACAATAAAATATAAACACAAGAGAAATTCATCCCCCTTACCGGGCTGTCCCACTAAGCTCTCTCCTCCGCAGAGGCTTACATGAAGTTTCTAGTGAGGGAAAAGTGAGCGCGCAAGGAGTGATGGGAAGAGCTAAATAAAGGAAGCCTCTGCGAGTTAATGCAATCAATATGGCGTCGTACGTATATAATAGTTTGTAGCGAAGTTCGATCAACCATCGAGGGTGTTAAAACATGTTTTCGACTTTCATTTTCAGGCGTACTTGAGTATCCTGGGGGTGAATTTACTGTCGTTCCAATTGAAGTGTTCCTCAAATATTGATTCAATACATTACCTCAAGCTGACCAATTCATTTCATCAGGTTCCTCGAGATATTCATACACTTCCTGTAAAAGAGCCAATTCCAAGAATTTGATCATTTCTGGTCACTTCCTTTCTATTTATGATTGGTCAGTTGCACAAACAACAAAGGTGATTGGTGCATTCAAACTATTCAACAGGAAGTTTACAATTATACTAGGAAGTGTATGAATATTTCGAGGAACTTGATCAAATGAATTGGTCAGCCCGAGGTAATGTATTGAATCAATATTTGAGGAACACTTCAATTGGAACGACAGTAATATCAATATCTTCTTCCGTAACATTTCTTTATAAAAATGATTCTGTTGAACTTCGATACTCATATTATGTCGATTCATTTCAATTTCTTTCACATTTCCGTCGATTTCAAGTTTAAAAAAGGTCAAACAGCTAGTTTGGTTCAAAAACCATACTTTGTCGCATTATCTAGCCTGCTCACAGGCTCTATTATATAGAGCCTGCGACTTTTATTGATATTTTTTCAATACGCCCCCTTTGAGATAATTGAATATCCGGTAAATAGTAGCCAATCAAAGCAAGTTTTGTTAATTAGATTACCAGAGGTTATTAACAACAACAAACAGTTTCTCGCGCAATTTTACGCCTGTATCTTTCACTAGGATTCCAAGGTCTAAACTTTAATCTAAAATAATTCATGGTCGTTTTTTCCCTAAAGTGTTCTAATATTTAAAACATAGTCCCGTTTGTATATTGCTGTCTTGTTCGTACATTGCCGTTTTAAATTATGTAACTATACTACAGAGACGTAAAATTTTACTCTCTATTAGTTAATGTATTTTATATATTTATATCCAAAATATAACTGTAAGATTTAAGGAAACGTATTTAGGTTTTGAACAAAGTAACAAACACTATTTATTAAAAGTGTCGAACAATAGCAGGCTAAAAAACAACATTAATCATTTAAGGCCAAGTAAAAGAAATTAGTAGTTTCTCGTCCGAATTTTGAAAAAAAAGGAGGACGCGGGCGCTTTTATTTTTTATTTATTTTTTCCCAAAAATTTATACCAATTTAACGACATGCCATATTAAACCGAATATGAATATTTGTAGTACACAGCTCTATTAAAAATGCTACTTTTCTTTTGGAACGAAGGTACGCTTAATTCTGTTCTTGACAATGTTTCCCAGTTCTTTACATCCACAACATATTGGGTACGTTTCGGGAGTTGACGTCAGATCATGTTCGCTTCCACAGTAGTAACATAAAGGATCTGAAAACATGACGTAGTATGGAGTTTCCATAGGTGAGGCACAAGTAAGCTTGTCATTCACGTAAACATGCTCAAAGATTCCACCCTGGTAGTCTTCGATATCTTGAAAGCAAGATCCACAAGAGTACGCGATGTTGTCCAGCTCGCTTTCCAGCTCACGTTTCTGATTCTTCTTTAGCACATGGCTTGCGTAACACACTCTCCACTTCAAACAGTCATCACACTGGATAAAGAAAACAAATTTAAATAGATTATACAAGTTAATTGCACTGATATTTTAGAACACTGGTTCTCTACTCTAACGACAGCAAATAGGTTTAACATTAGTCCAAATTTACCTGAATAACAGTCTTCGCATTGTTGGACTTATGGGAGGATGGTGAAAAAGGCATCCGATGACGGGCAGCAGCTTTCAGCTGGTTAGACGGTACGTGCTTCTCTTCATTGCTATCATCATCTTTTCTATACAATTCCTAAAATACACAAGTACAACGTTTATAAAATACACATCTTTCAGTTTTTGTAGTACATGCAGTGAGTGGTGGAATTTCATTTGAGCATACCTGAAATGATTTGTAATGATCTCTATGTGGAATCGGATAAGGTAAGTGGTGGAGCTTGTCAAACAAATCAGGTTGGGTTCTGGGAATTCTGCAAGCACAATTCTCTTCTTTGCACTTTTTTATGCTAAATTGATAGTGGCCTTTCCGAGTATGACTATGCATGAATTTTTTTAGCTTCTTTGAAATCTTGCAAGGCTTGGACGTATCTATTAGCACATCTAAATTGAAGCCTGGGTCTATCTTGTGAAGTTGTGAAGCCGTCTTTGTGATGCCCTCTTTAGTGGCAGCAGTAAACACTTGGAAGTTTTTCCCCTTGTGTTGGCATCTCTTAAACTGAGAACTCAGAAGGATCTTGGGCTGTTCAAGCGAGTCAGAGAAAGACTGGTTCAAGCCGACAATGACACGCTTGCCCCGCTCCACAGCAGCTACTGGAAAGCCAGGTTCCCCTACTTTGATGGTATGCTTGTCATCTTCGCACACAAGGCTTGCAATATCCTGGAATTGCACACAAAATTCTTTCTGGTATCTAAATACAGCTGATGCATAGTGGACATCTACATGACTCTTTCTAAACTGGCGTGCTGCAACAACCATTTTGACTTTCAGTCGTCCTGTGTGTCTTTTGCTGGCTGCACATGCCTTACTTGGCCAGAACTGCAACCGGAGCCATTGAATGGATGGTATTGGTGTTCCTTCAGGGCACTGTTCCTTGACCTGTTCATGCAAGTCTCGAGCATTCATAGCCATAGCCAGATGAACCACATTTTCCCCATTCTCAGTGACATTATCATGTCGTCTATCATCTACTGCCGTCTCTACCTTGCCTTTTATATAATCCTGGCACTTCTGCAGGAAAAGTGGATAGTCTTCCGTTCGTCCAGTGTTGTTTACTCTCAAGTCCCACAAGATGTCAGGATCCTCGTGATCCAGTACCTCTTGTATCCGACTGTCAACTTCCTTCTCGGACAAGTTCCGTGCAGCCGCAGAATCCCCAGTTAATCGGCGGTATGCTTTACGAAGGAATGCACTCTTAACTCCAGTTACTTTTCCAAAGCAAGAAAGGAAGTCTCTCTTCATAGCCCTACTATGGTAGACAGGAAATTGTAATTTGAATTTGTCTTTGGTCTGATCGTTTTTCTGCTGTCGAACACTTTCATTGTCAGCTACTTCTAGCTTCCACACGAAATGGAGATGGTTGTGCAATGCTGTATAAGAGTATCTAATACACTTGATAGGGAAGACCAGGCCAGTCATGTATTCAAATCTCCTTCTCCTATCGGCTGGAGCAAAGTCGTTAATAAAAATGGCTTCGTAGGAATCTGCATTTTGGAGTGCTTGGTGCAGGCTTTGATATTTAGCTCTCTTTGTAGGTGTAATGTTCATTGCTTGATACACCTGCCATTCATCAACATCTGTGCGAGCAATTTTCCTAGCTTGAGACGTTTCAGTTGCTGCCAATTGTTCATCCAGGTAGTTGGCATATTTCCTCAGATTATCAGCTAGTCTAAGCAAAGCATTGTACACTCCTAGTGATAAGCAAATGAGGAAATTTAATATGAATAAATGAGTGTCTATTAATAATGATGCATGTGTATATGTATTTAATAATTTATATATCATGGAATGACCAAAATTACACACACCTTTCCATGCATCCCTTTTGAGGTAGCTGCAACTGCACATCTGAAAAAGTCGCTGTGAATAGGCGAATACATCAATATAATTCAAATTGTTGTACTGACGTTTTCTGTGTTTGGTTATTTCTGGTTTGTTGTAGCCTTGGAGGTGCTTGAACATCTCTGGAATCCCACACCCTCTGTCTTGCAAGGTCTTGTCATGTCCATCAATAGCCCACAATACATCAGCCAATGTGTTAATGAAGTTACATCCCTGATCAGTAACAGCATCTGCAGTCCACCCAAGCTCGTTAATCTCAAGCCAACCTAAAATGTCGTTCTTCAAGTCCAACTTGCGATTAGGCTTTTTCACTTCATACTTGTGTGGCAATGATTTCTGCTGGCGTTGCATGGCCATCATTATAGTGAAGGGATTTTGTGTGTGTGGAACCTTGTCTTCTGCATCTCTTGCACAAGCTGGTTCAGTGACAACAAATTCAACGAATTGACCCAAGCATACAACATCTGAGATGCGCTCTTGTGGACTGGTATTTACCTTTTTGTCACTCTTGCTGTGACCTATCCTGACTTCAACCTGCAACAGCCAATTGGTGGTATTGACTAAGGTGTTTATATTATGGAAACACATTCTGGTTACTTTTGCATGCCTTAAACAATTTTATAAACAATTAATATATTTGCCTTTAATATTAATTTAATATGAAGAGATATAAATGTTGATATACTATTATTATTATATTAAAATGATAATATTTTTGACACGTTTTTGACGATATTAAAATTCTGTCTATATGCATATATTAAAATACTTAAAAGCGGAAAATATTTTAAATATGTTAATATTTTCATTATGTATTAAAAAATGAAGTCATTTCTAATATATATTTATTTCTATTTATAAATATATATTTATAAAATACATGCACTTGAATGTTGTGCTATATTCATGTTTATAAAAACAACGAGATTTAGTAGCCTACATAGTCAGTCACTTACTTGAACCGTTTGATATTTCTCATCTATTACAACTCCTGTACCATCAAATTCTCCACTTGCAAAATCGTTGAAAATATCTGACAAACTCTGGTCTCCATCCTTAGTAGAACGTGCGTACCAATGTTTAAGGACTTTTTTGGACGTGCCATTAGGCGTCCTTATGCAAGCACATATGAAAACCATTTTTATACTGTATGATATAATGATATGAACGCAACGCTTCGATTAATATTATGGTAAATATAAAAATATGGCGCCAAACAACATTGGCGCTAAAGATGCTGAGCATCTCCGAACAAGATTCCGAGCATCAACGAACGGTAACCGAAGGTGTCCGACAGTTTCGGAAAGGCCGAAAAATAATTAAAAATAAAAGAAATATTCACGCGGCAGCAAAAAAGCATGCGCGCGGGGACGAGAAACTACTAATTTCTTTTACTTGGCCTTATATGGTACACTTTGTCTTATTTTGTAATTTTATATATTCATTATATTAATTTAACTGTGATGTCCCCATAATTATTTCCCTTTATAAATCAGCTACTCATATTTTACTACTAAAAACCACCAGTATCAAACTATTTTAGCATGCAACCTTTATGTGTCCATCTATTTTTTTCAAATGGTCAGGAGAGCAACAGGGTTTGTATTGGCATATATTGCATTCAGCAGTGCATGTCTTGATGTTATGGTTAGATTGTGAACAGTTATTACATTTTTGCTGGACAACTTGCCGTCTTGATCCTAATGTCCTCCAAATGCTCCATTCGGTTGTGTTTCAGGACCAACTGAAACAAAGCATTTAATCCCCTTTGATTTGTGGACCTAAAATAGTCTTTAGTTGTTCTGTCATTCAATTTCTCCAAACCTTGTTGTGTAAAAGGACAAATTGTCCCATATAAGCTAAGAAATTCTGGAACATGCCATACCAAGCCATGCATATAAGGTTAACACATGCTTTGTAAGGTAAATGGAAAGGAATAGGTCAAGCCATAGTTTAGTTTTCCTTGAGAAGTCCCCTACATTAATTTCATTTTGGTTAGATGAACTTAACTCAGCTATCTCAAAAAAGTCCTTCCATAACTTTTGGATTTTAGCAGATTCCTCAGAGTTTGGTAACAGTTTGTCAACATTTATGTTTCGAAAAAGTTTCAGTTTTTCAGGCCCTGTCAAATCACACCACTTCAGCTTCATACTGACATTAAAAAAAAACAGTTAAAAGAAATGTTCAACTTCGTATTCAAATAGTCTTGCCAACCAGCCACATGCTTGTATTTGGAGAGATCTAGACCTTCATTGAAGCATCTCTTCTTGTCAATTGCATCTTCTCTTCGCAGCTGAAGTATCAAAAGATGGATGAGATTGTCACATATTTGAAGGAACAGGTGAGTGTATCAATGATGACATGGTCAAGGGAGACAATGGCACGGTGGCCATGTTGGTGCCAAATTCAAGAGAAGTTAATAAGATTCTTTTGTTGAAAGGGGACCAACATTGTAGACTGTAGTACTCAGTGGTAATAGTCAATGTACAAAACCTTAACCCTAACCCCATATATTAATGTACTTGTTTACCTTTAAAGATGTAGTCTTATTGACAATGAGCATACATTGCGTCCACTTTATATTATAATAGTTGATGGCAATACGTTTCTGCTTTTCGAAATCATTCCGAACTAAGCTGACTGCAGCATCTACTCTTTTTTTTACCTCCAATTCTCCTTTAACTTTGAATCGCGTAATTGATCGTTCAGGTTCTTCCTAGAATTTCTTAATTTTCTTCTGTACTCAACAGAATGCACCATATTCAGCTTATATCTCTGCATTTGAAAAAAATTGCTGCGCTGAAATTATAAAAATACTGCGACTTAACACAAGTGTAATTCTGCCCAATTTGGACTTCAGAGCCATATTTTGCGGCAGGGCTGCTGAGAGAAGTCTCTGGGCCCAGGACAAATTGTTCTCGGTGGGAATTACGCTCTTACATCGACCCCAATACATTTTGAGGGGCATGCTCAATTTTATATTTGTTAGGGTCTCACTCAATTTGGGGCCCTATTTATGGGTAGGGTGCACTGGACTGCTTGGCAACAATATATTATACATTGTGAGAAATTAAATTGTCCATGTATTATTAAATTGTCCCATGTATTATATAGCCTCACTGCCCAGCATAGGATTTATTCAAAAGCTACTGAGTAAATACTGTACAAATTGTATTGTATTAATACACCCTAATACAGTACACATGATGATCTCTTATATCATCCCTTTAAAGGCACAGTTCGGCCTTTTGAATGATGGTTTTTAAGGTGCATTTCAGCCCTTTTAATGAGCCAATTGCGGAATGCGCAAAGCATCATGGTAGTTTAGTTACATAGCTGAATTTTCCATCATGGCGCTTGCTTTTTTCGAAGTAGAGTAGACAGTGAACAAATGAAAATTTGAAGAAAAGTTGTATCATTTTCACTTCGATTAAAGCTTTTGCCAAATCTGTACGTCTTGTTCTATATTTCCACTCTGTCTTTGGATTCTCCAAGCGAATGGTGTTGAAATATTTAACATGGCGTACCGAGTTGCTGAAGTGTGAAAGGGCTTCGATTCGATATGGTCAGACACGAATTATGGTATTTTTCACATTGTAAAGGTACGTACTTGGTTAAATTACTTTTTAGATAAGGGACACATTGTGGATCATTGTTTAAATGGGAAAATACGGCGATCGACTCATTTCACGCGGCTTGAGACACGAAGATGTTCTCACACTAGGTCGGCCTAAAAACAACACATGTTTGATCAAGTGTTCTTTTCACAACCAAAACATTGAGCTCGTTTGGCGCGAAAACTAACCGTTTGAAATACCTAGCTTTCTCATTTCAAATATTTTCGCTGTTGTAAAAAAGTGCTTTTAAGTGCTATTCACTGCTGTTGGGTGTTTTAGTGGAGTTTTCAACTACAAAAAATTGTATTAATATTGTTCGCTTGTTCGACTATCTACTTGGCCGGTTTTGGACTGTTTCTGGACCAGTTTTTTCGCAAAAAAATGGAAAATATACCATGGACAAAAAACCTCAGTGGCCTTCCTCCTTTTTCACACAATTTGTTAACAGAGCACTTGATAACTGACAGTTCAGGGAAACATGGGAAACCAGCAAATGCTCACAAGCACAAGAAGTACGGGTACCAGCAGTTTAAGGATAAAATGGTTACCCAGGTTTTAGTCAAGTCAAATGTCTTAAAAGGCGATGAAACGTTTTTCCTAGTTAAAAGTAATGTACATGCCTCCATGAAAAAAACTAATTACACAGTTTATGTACACCTAAACCAGAGCACAGGCAAAGTATCACATGCAAACTGCTCATGTAAAGCTGGACAAGGTGGTTGTTGTAAGCATGTGGCAGCCTTGCTTTTCCAAATTTTGGATTTCATTGAACTTGAGTTGACTGTTGTGCCAGAGGACTTGACCTGTACTCAATTACTGCAGCAATGGCATGTTCCCTCCAATGACAAACTTGAAACTGCTTTACTCTTTGACCAAGTGAAATTTAGTAAGGCAACTTCCATGAAAGAGAAAGTGTACAAGGCGGATTACAATAACCCGGCACCTGCTTTTGCTAAGGATGTGAAAGAACAGGACCTAAAAAACCTTGGGAACAAGTTGCAAGCTGCAGACACATGTCATTACTTTCAGGGCCTGTTAGAATCACAGGACTATCAACCTTATGAATATAATGAATTCCTGGATGAGTTGCCTTCGAAAAGGGCATTTACTGATGCAAACTCCCATGCAAGTCAGCTTTATAATGCTAACATTAGAGAGTCGATATTAAAAGATATTACTATCCCTGACTTTGCTGAAGTATGTAAGCATATACCTTCCCAGGAACATGCACATTATACTAAAAACACATTAGTTAAAACCAAAGAACAAATGCTTGACATAGAATGTAACACAAGAGGCCAATCGGATAGCAAACTTTGGTTTCAAGAAAGACAAGCTCGTTTGACTGCCTCTAATTTTGGTTCAGTTATGAAACGTAGAGAAAACATTTTCCCAAAGGCTCTACTCACAAAAATGCTTACTCCGGCAACAAATGGATCAAAACCGCCTGAACCATGTCTGTGGGGGAAAACTAATGAGCAGACTGCCATAGCAAAGTACTTGGAAGATAAACAATCTTTAACAGCTTGTGTTCAATGTGGCTTGATTATAAACACGGAAGCTCCATGGCTTGGTGCCAGTCCAGATTGTTTATTACATGATGCTAGAGAAACAACACCATTTGGGGTAGGCGAAGTTAAATGCCCATTTTCAAAAAAAGAAATGACAATTGAGGATGCCTGTGAGGATTCGTCATTTTTTTTAACGGCACCCAGTAATAACAAACAAACTACCGGTACACCAACATTGAAAAGAAATCACCAGTACTACTACCAACTGCAAGGGCTTATGGCTACCTGCAAAGTGAAATGGGGAGATTTTATTGTGTACACTAAGCAAGACATTTTTAGTGAGAGAATTTACTTTGACCATGAATTATGGTACAAAACAATGTTACCAAAACTCACTTTATTTTATTTCACATACATTTACCCTAAACTAGTAAAATAGTGAATTAATATATTAAACTGAATAAGAATTATTTAATTTGTGCATTTTAATTTACATTTAACATTTATTAATTAATTAAAGGTGGATAAAACAAAGTAAGGTAAGAACAAATTATCCAAATCTTGTTCAGGTCTGATGACATTTTCAGTGGAAAAACATTTTTGATTATTTTAAAATTTTTGATGCGCCCAATTGCTCTTTCTACATGCACTCTAAGAGCAGCAATTTTCCGTGTTTCAGTTTCATCGCTAAGTGACAGTTGGGGTGCACCATTCAAAAATGGTGGTATATTCAGCCCAACACCAGCCGGCATATCATTTTCTATGTTGAACCCCCTGTCTGCCATAACATGATCTCCTGGTTCAAGTAAATTAAGAATGCCACAATCCTTGGTGACTTGTTTATCACTAGACCTC